TTATATATATATATATATATATATATATATATATATATATATATATATATATATATATATACCTTTCTTATTTCATTAGATATTTAATCAGTTAGAATCATACCTTTCTTTATATGATATTTAATGAATATTTATATTAAAAATTATAATTGACATGAACATATTGAGAGCGATATAATTTTGTAAAATGATATTAAGTAGTTAAGGAAAAACAGAAAAATAACTACCGAGGAGGAATAATGAGGAAGTGGCAGTAATGCCAAGCTAATAACAAGCAGGAAGAAGCACAGCAGTCGAGCTTTAAGAGTGGGGGAGAGAGAGAGACGTCAAAGAGGGCTTCATTGATTGCAGGGGACAGGACGAGACTAGACGCTATTCCATGACGGTCGAGATCGAGAGCCAGCACCATCACCACCACCACCACCACCATCAACAGCATCTCCCTCCGCCGCTGCAACCCCAGCGCCGTCCCCCTTCGTCCACCTGCGATCTCCACCCGGGCGAAACCGTCACCGGCTTCTGTGCATCCTGCCTCCGCGAGCGCCTCGCTGGCCTCGAGACCCCCGCCGCCACCTCCGGCCGTAAGTCCACCTCCGCCCTCCGATCCGTCTTCCACAAGGTCTCCTCCAGCACTGCCCCCGCTGCCGGGCCCTCCTTCCTCCGCCGCTCCAAGTCCTTCTCCTTCAGCCGTGGCGGAAGCGGCGGCGACGGCTTATCCGCTCAGCGGCCCCCCGCCTCCGCCTTGGAACCCCAGCGGAAGTCCTGCGACGTCCGCGGCCGCAGCACTCTGTGGTCCCTCTTCCACCAGGACGACCGCCATAGGGTTTCTCAGAACCCCTTCGTTCCACCCTCCGCCTCAGCCTCCACTACGGAGGCGGCGGCTGCAGCGTCGACGGGTGGGGCAATCGACTTGGAGTGCGGGAACCTAGGGCATCCGGGTCTCTCCGTCGTCCTTCCTGTCCCGGAAACCCGTAAAGAGGAGGGAGACAGCGGCGACGAGATTAGGCCTGTCGACCCTGTCGTCGTGGTGGTCGGAACCTCGGGAGAGGTAAATGAGGAGACACAGGAGGAGGAGGCAAACGAGGACGAAGCGGAACTGAAGACAATGAAGGACCACATAGATCTCGACTCCCTGCAGCAGGCGAAGAAGCCTCCGTCCAAGGACCTCAAGGAGATCGCCAGCAACTTCTGGCTCGCGGCCTCCGTGTTCAGCAAAAAGCTCCAGAAGTGGCGGAGAAGGCAGAAGCTGAAGAAGCAGGGCGGCGAAACCGCAATGCCGGCGGATAAGCCACCTAAGACGTCCCGGCGGTTCCGCGACACACAGTCGGAGGTGGCCGTGGATGCCTCCGGCCGGAGATCCTGCGACACCGACCCGCGCTTCTCTTTGGACGCCGGTCGGATGTCCTTCGACGACCCGAGGTTTTCGTGGGACGAGCCGAGGGCGTCTTGGGACGGCTACCTTACCGGAGGCCGATCGGTGTTCCCCCGGCTCCCTCCCATCCTCTCTGTCGTCGAGGATGCCCCTGCTCCTGCCGTCCCGCGATCGGACTACCTGATCCCCGTCGAGGAGGACATCGCCATCCCGGGGGGGTCAGTGCAGACCCGGGACTACTACTTGGACTCGTCCAGCCGGCGGAGGCGAAGCCTTGACCGATCGAGCTCCATGCGCGAGCAGGCTGTAGAGGTCAATGAGCTCAAGCCGGTCCCTAACGGGAAAGTATCCCCAGCAAATGGTATGGACTTCTTGCACTTCCACAATGGGACGTTGCTTGACCGGGATATAAAGGACTGGAGCTCCAACTCTCTGAGAGACGATTACTCGGGAAGCTTCGAGTCGGCTTTCAGGGACCCTCACAGAGGGGCTGCTGCTAAGAAGACCAGGAGATGGAGCAAGGCATGGAGTATATGGGGGTTTATTCAGCGAAGAAACGGTGGCAGAGGAGAAGACAATGTAGTCGAGAACTCTCTGTCGGAGTCTTGGCCAGAGCTACAGTCGAGGGGCTTCGATAGCAGGATGCTTCGGAGTAATAGCTCTAGGAGTTCTTTCAGTGGCAATGCAGGGTATTGGGGCATGAGGAAGAACAGTATCAAGTCCAATGGTAACCATCCGAAGAGGGGAGACGATTTTGTTTTGGAGAGGAACAGAAGTGCTAGGTATTCTCCAAGCCATGTAGATAGTGGTATGCTGCGGTTTTACTTGACACCGATGAGAAATAGCCGGAGGAATGGAGTCTCAGCGAGCAGCGGAAGACAGATACCTTCCCGCCACTTCACAAGGAGCATGCTCGGACTGCATTGAGTTGATTCCTGCCGTCGATCAGGTTCCTCTCTTCTTCCTTGTATCAAATCTGTGTCTGTTTCTCATCCTGGTAGTTTGAAGAATGCTGTTTACTGTTACTTCAATAACAATTGCCTTTCCCCGTAACCACACTGGTAATTGAAAACAACTTACGGATTGCCGGGGATAGCATATCATATGGAACTTAACAGTAGTTGAAGGAGATCAGGTTATTAGTGTAGACATTTGGTTACACTTTATCAAAATGGTTCTAGTTTCCACTTGCAGCCGTGTGCCGTCGTATACCCTAATTTTCGATAAGTTCACCATAGATTCCATACTTGTAGATTATTCTGTCAATGCTTGAATTTAGAATCTGATTAAGTTGCTTGCCATTTGTTTTGTCTGGTGTTCTGTATGCTTATCCAAGATCACTTTATTGATACACCGACGACTGATCTAACATATAGCTCGGTTGCAACTCATTTCTGTTTTGTGGTTCTTGGAATGTAGTTTTAGTCCTACATTTCTGCTTGGAATGTAGTTTTGATACACCTGACTCTGGTAGGGTGTTTTAGTCCCCTGAATGTAGTTTTACCGATGCTTGAATTAGCTCGGGCTGGACATTTGATATCGAACCTACCGAGGAGCTTAGTTGCTGTGGCCTTTGAAAGAAACTCTAATGAAGGGCATACATGCAGCACTACAGTGTTAGGAAAGACGATTGCTGCCTAATTCTCCGACCATTTAGAATTTGGTTGTGTGGGGTTGGGGATCCACTTTTGGCATCTAATTAGAAGGGTCTTTTCATATATCCACAAATTGTGTTGTGAGCAATTATTTGTTGGGATGGATGTTATCAAAGAAAGGGAGATAGATGATAGTGATACACACACTTGTTTTGTCCAATCGTGGTTGGGGGCTTTCAGGAAACCAACATATACTCGATATTTCTTGCAAGGATTCTCCTTTGACCTTATGCTGGCCCCATACTCCAATTCTTTTCAGTCTATTCTGCCATTTCTCTCCAGCATGTAACTCGCTTTGGTCATTGTCTTTGGATGCCCTTTAAACCGGTCCACCTAAAAGATTGACAAAGACAGTTGGAAAGAGGCATCTGACCCCATTGAGTCTTCTTTTTGGAGGAAAACTGATGGGTTTATTTTTGGAGCCACAGCAAAAAAAGTCGAACTCACTCTGAAGGATCAAAAACATGTGATCGATCATTAGGCTGTCTGTAGTGCGAATCTTAGGGACACAAGAGCACTTATTTACTTGGTGTACTGACTTTTTACGGCCACTTCAGTCATGTGTCACTCTCCACCTCCAAATGACAACACTTATTAGCTCTCTTATTCATCTAGTTAGTATGAGAGACTACAAGTTGCTGACACCTGCAAAAGGTAATATTGGTAGGACAGCAGATGCCTCACCACGGTTCTGTGCTTCCACTTTTGTTGCAGGTGATCCCGTCCAGAGATCATGCGGTCATCAATCGCTGCAGTAGTATGATGACATTTTTGTTGGATAAATTACAAGGCAGCGTGATGCCGAAGGCCTTGTGGCATATGCATGTGTGGGGGGGACTGGGAGTGACACAAAGCCGGAGGAGCTGAGTTGGTGATTCGGACTTCGACACTGTGTTTCCCTGCAGTTGGTGATGTCACCTTTGAAGCCAGCTGAAGACTTAATGATTCCAGATTGCGGAGTTCATCCTGAGCAAATTTATGACAGACCTAACTCCGGGCGGGCGAACTGTTCTTTCCATGCAATTACTACATGTGAAACATTGGAGTCGAACTGTTCTTTCTCCATCTTTTTTCTCCGTGTCAGCTGCACTGCATGGAACCATACCTTTTTCTGAACTATGCGAACTTTAGCCTTAGGACTCTGATAAGGATTATCACAATCCTATGGTTGATCTGTTAACTAATCGAGTCCGAATCAATGATTTAAGTATAAAATACTTAAATACTATATCCATATCCATCAGACGACTCTCACAAATGAATCTAAACCTTTATTCATTTTAGATATTTATGTGATGAATAAACGATCGTTGAAGTCAGTCAACTTAACGACGGATGACATGTATATATTTATTTCCTCAGCACAGAGACCCTACAGTGGTAAAAGAATAATATAAAATGAACTTTAATTAACGCCAGGTCTAATACAAAAGCAAAGCCAACAATTTTACCAGCATGATCTACACACAAATCGCTGAATACCAGTTGCTCGAATAAAAGGAAAAAAAATAGTGAAGCTCGTCGAAGGACTCACAGGCCAGGTCTGGCAGTGCATAAGTAGATATTCTGATGCAGCCTACTAATGGAAGTCAAACCGGATCTCGGAAAACTTTCTTCAACAACACTCATGGCGCATGAATTAATGTATCGTACTTCATCAAGATGAACTGACATAGAGAACTGGAACCAATCCACCCATTCTCCCGTCTCTTCCAGGTCGCTTTTTCTTCACCTGTGCCAAGACGAGAGGTAATGTTATACCAGACCATCATTGTTCCATGTCAGTCTTCTAGGGAAGGACCTCGTGAACTTACATAGTACCAACCGTCAACCTCATAATCGATCTCAACCTCCTCTCCCGCTGTTAAGCTTAGCTGTAAACACGATATCCAGGTAAGTAGTTCAGTCTTCTTTCAGGATCGACATAATTAACCATTACCACTCAGGAACATGGTGCATCAAGAAGAAGCAGAGAATCAAAGATGCACAGACCATTGTTTTAAATATAAGGAGAATAAAGAACCCCTTCTATTCACTTAACTAGCATTCAGACAATAATGAAACAGTAATTTCATGTAAAAGCTGCAGGATACCTCATCGTCGCCACCAGCAGTGAAGTCATACAGTGCTTTCCCAAACTGTGGATTCTGGGAACCTGTGTCTTCATCCTGTGAGCCAAAACTCTGTGCCCCACGGCCTGCTAGAGGATTTTCGAAAGACTCGAACCTCTGAAGAACAGATGATGAGTATGATGGTGGCTCTTCCCTGACCTAGACATACAAAATGGAAAATAAGGATATTTTGTTTTAAGAAAAAACGAGTGCTGTAACTTTGCAGTAAGGCTAACCGGGGATCCTATCCCCTCCAATGTCGGACCACCAGTGGATGTGTTGCTGAACCTCCTACCGTTGTTTCCTGACCTGATCTCCTGCTTGGTCCAATAAAGTTTTGCTTGACATTATTTTTCAATTCAACTCCAATAAGGAAAACGACTTCTATAGTTCACAAGGCATGAAATCCAAGTAGATGGTCAAGTAAATATATAAAAAAAAATGTATTTTCTTTTATTGAGTTAATTTTCTTATCTATTATTAAGTCCTATAAATACATCAACCAGTGGAAGAGCAGGTATATGTTTAAGGAAAAAAAAAGTTCAAAATGCATCTGCAATAATACATAGTGTATAAGAAATGAAAAATTTTCAAAGATGAGATGCCACATATGTAATCCAAGAACATAGATTCAAAAGAAACTTTGCAATTTGACCAACATAACAGAGAATGGAAAAGGTGCCTATTTTCTTATTAAATGAAGTTTAAGATATATACCGAATTCTGTGACACTCCATAACCTGATGGACGTGAACTGAACAAGGATGGATAGCTCATACCACCAAAATGGGAGGATATGGAAGTTTCAACAGAACCAGTTGACTCAGGAGATGATGTCCCCGATGACCTTGCATCATCTTCCTGGAATAAATGGAATCTACATAAAGATCCAAACTTGAAACAAAAATATAAACAATGGTTATGGTACCTCTGCTTCATAAGTTTCTAGAATAGACTTAGCCCATAAATCATCATAAGTAACTGATGGCCGAGATGTTATGTTCTCTTCCTCTTCAACATCAGGAGCATCAGTTCCAGCACCGGCGAGAAATTCATTTACCTGGATTGGAGAACAGGCAACAAATACTCAATACCCACAACAACATAATTGGAGACGGTAGCAAAATGGAAAGACTTGTGTAACTTAGTAAATTAAATAGTAGTGTAATTAGCAGATTAGAAGTCATAGTTGCAATAACTAAAGAAACCCTTGTGAATGGCAATTCATACTTCAGATAATAGGTTTCTCCCTTACAGTTTCATACTGCAGTCATGTCTCCTACATCTTTTAGCATTCGTAATGCAGTAGTTGGCTCGATGACTGTTAAATTGAGACTAAGAAAAAATTATCCTTGTCGAAACAAGACAGGCATCTTACTTTTTCCATTGCAGGCGCATTCTTTCCCCATAGGCCATCTTCTAAACCTGCTGCCCAAGCCAATGCCAATTCAGGATCAATGGCATCAGATTCCTTTTCAGCTTCCTTAGATTCATATACCAGTTCAGAAATCCCATATACCAGGTCAGAAATCCCCGTAGCAACAGCTGGATCATTCAGCCCAGTTGATGTGCTAATGTTATGCCGGTTACGGTAGATTTCAATGAGTTTGGCACTAAATCACAGTCCAAGAAAATATAAGATGAGACAAATGAGACAAAATAATTACAAATTTTCATAGATAAAGAACGTTAAGCAAACAAAAAAAATATCATGCGACTCAAGCCATATATCAAACTTGTGACCTTATGCAACCAAACCAATAAATACAACTGAGTCTCTCATCCCTTATTTGTAGGTAAAAAATGGAAAAAGGTTATTCCAAATGCAATTTGCTACATCATTGGTAGACATCCGCCTTTTATTACACTGTATAAGTATTTATAATTAAGTTCAAAGTTGAAATTTTATTGCCATGCTGGACATTTTTTTCTCATTACATTGGAGTGCTTAGTAGGGCTGTATGCAGATAGATTTGAGATTTTATTTGAATAATGAATATATAGTAGTTAATTACAACATTAGCATATCCGTTTAAAATGATTAATATTTATTTGTTCATAAATAATTTCACTATATTTAATGAAGTACTCATGATTATTCATCATCATATTTTTAATATGATTTTCTCATCTTTTACATTTTAGTTCCTTATTTTAAAAAAGTTAGATATTTTATGACATAGAAGGTAAAAGAAGTTTTCAGAATATGCACTTTCTATTTTCTAAAAACCATTTTGATATTTTTAAAATTTTTATTTTCTGGATTTTAACAGTTTTTCACTTATAAAATTTTCAGCCGATCCAGATCAAGTGGTGCCAATCCTGACTGATCCAATCCTTAATCTTTATATTGTGCTCACCATTCCCTGACAATTCTTAACTCCCAAATTGTTACATAAGGCCATACTTAATCAAATTTATAAGATATTCATAAGAGAATAATGCAGTTGGCTTGTAATATATATTAAAATCAAATTTGCAAAATAACAATTCCCCTTTCCACTAACCAGACTTCAACTAGTTCATGTTGACCAAAGCTGGTTATAAGCAGCAGATAATTACCTGGTAGGACCTAGAGGAAGATACTTTGCTCTTGGAACATAGCAGAACAATGAAACCAAATTAAGTAGTTTCTCGTGAGTCTCATAAAGTTTCTTCAGCTCCTCGTCTGTCCATTCTTGCTTGTTGTTATCATGATTGCGCATATCTCTGGAAGTCAACACAGTTAACAAGCACAGAGGGAGAAAGATATATAACTTAAAATGTAATGGATCTTTTTCATAGATTACCTAATTAGATCATCTTGTGCCCTGTACATCTCATCAAGGACCTTTAGCATAGGACTGATTAAAGATCCAAGACCAGTACCGCTCGCACCTTGATCTTCCCCATTACTAATTTGTGACTCTGAAAACTGGGATTGCACACCCCCTAGAGATAAAGCATGCAAGAATTCATATATCTGTAGTCTGTAAGGCTCTCCTGACCTAATTGCAATAGTGATCAAGGCTTGAGAAGCAATGATGCGAACCTGAGAAGGATCAACAGATAGAATTTAATAACTGAAAGCTTAAAACTACAAGGAATCTTATATATAAAAAATTGTCAAAAAATTACCTCCCAGCTTCCACTAAAGGCACACCTCTGAAGCCGTGTCAGAGCTCCAGCAAGGGTAGGATTTCGAGAACTTGCAGCAGCCACCATTTTATCAGCATCTAACATCATAAGTGCAGTGCCGGGAGGTGTTGCTGACTCCCAAGCATATTCAGAGGCAGCATAATTTGCATTTTCACCAAGAAACCACACCTGTATTGATCATTAGAGATAAAATAATATTTTTTTTCATACTCATAATATAACCCCAACGCACAAAGAGAAAACACAAATATCTACACACAAACAGATTTTATATATATATATATATATATATATATATAATTGGGAAGCAAAAGTTGTCCTTACTGCAGCCTGCACCAGTCTCTGCAAAGCCAAAGCAGACTTCGGATCTGATGCAGAGACTCTATCAACGGATGTAAGTCCCAACATGGACCCGGGGTGAGGAGGTGGTAGATCAAGGACAATGGTAACTGCTTCCAATGCTGTATGCTTCCCTTCTGGACCAGCTCCAACAAGGCACGTCTGACAAGGAAACAATTAAACCGGATGGCATTGAGTTCAAAAAGAGTTCAAACGACATATATCATGCTTACATATAACAAATTGCCAGCTCGTAT